CAACCTCTTAGCATCAAAGTTTGTAGATTGTATAGGGTACCTAATGATTCAGGTACTGTTTTGATATTGGTGTAGGAAAAGTCAAGATATCGCAAATGTTTCAAATCTCCAATTGATTTTGGAATAAGTTCGTCGCCAATGTGATATCTATTCAAACTCAACACCCTTAAGCGTTTCATCTTTGGCAACAGATCAAGGGGAACCTTGCTTGTCAAACAACAATGTCTATATTTACTTAAGGACAATGGTAAGAAGGTCCTTAGACTCCTTACATTCTCAGCTTTATAAAAAGTTTCAAACTTTTTGATTGCATCAAATTCGCTTTGCATGTAAGATGAATGTCGAGCACTCTTTAATTTTGTACGTTGCTCCTGATCCTTCAATTTATCCTCCAATCTAAAACAAGTATATCCTGCAACTGACTGAGCCAAATCATTGATGAGGTCATGCATCACAAATTTCAAGCTTTCACCACCATTCGATGGTTGGAAAAAAGACCTCGACTGCAATTCGTGAAAGTATTGAACTCCTAAATCTTCCATTCGCTTCTCTCCATTTTGTTGCTGAAGAAGGCCTTCTGCCATCCACAAGAAGACTAACTCCATCTCCTCAAATTCATAGTCCTTTGGCAGTATAGAGCAATATGCAAAGCACTGCTTCAAATGTGAAGGGAGATGATGGTAGCTTAATCTCAAAGCTGGGGGGATTTCATTGCCTTGTTCTGTTAAATCCCATATTTTACTATTCAATACAATTTCCCACTCATCGCCTCTTTCTTTGCACCGTAAAAGGCCACCGAGTGTCCTAGCAGCCAAAGGCAAACCTTTACATTTTCTCACAATTTTCCTACCAATAAACACCAAATTTGGATTAGCGTCCAAGCTTCTATTCCCAAAGGCATGTTGTTCAAACACTGACCAACAATCATCATCTGATAGATGCTGTAGCAAATGGTTTTGAACGGTTCCCATAATCGATGCAACATCTCTGTCACGAGTTGTTACAATTATCTTACTTCCTGGGGCTCCATCATTAAAGGGGCTCTTCAAAACGTTCCAATCATTGTATTTCTTGTCCCAGACGTCATCTAAAACAATTAAAATCTTTTTTCCAACCAAATTTTGCTTTAGCTGAACTTGAACTTGATTCAATTCTTTAAATTCACAAGACTTGGAAGTAATAGACTCAAGAATTACTTTTGAGATTTTCAAAATATCGAACTCATCAGAAACACAGACCCATGCTTTCGAATCAAAATTCTTGTTCACTACTTCATCGTTGTATACCATTTGTGCAAGGGTGGTCTTGCCAAGCCCACCCATACCTACAATGGGAATTACGCCCACTTTGTTATCACTTGACTCATTTCTTAGGAGAAAATCAATTATCTCCCTTTTTTCCTCCCTGCCACATATGCGAGGTTCATGTATCAAGGATGTGGAGGGTGGTCTGTGCCAAGCTTTAGCAGATTCTCCTGCAACAATTTGTTGTAAACCATACCCACTTCCGCTTTCAAGAATTTTTTGCAATCTGGAAATGATTTCCTCTATCTTGGAAATAGAACTCCTCGTAAAATCAGATAAAAGAGTTGTTGGATTGAGTCCTTTACAACATCTAGGTATCATGGCCCATAGCTTGCTCTTGCTGGTGCTAGCTGCTTGAGACTCTGATGTTAACTTACGCCGCAAAGCTTCAGTGGCAAATTCATCCAGTATGTCATCCAGATCATAAGCCAAGTCTGTGAGTTCCTCCAGCCACATTTTCACAGCTCTATTTTCTATTTGTTTCCCCTCCGCATCAGCCAAGAATGCTTGAATTTTAGCTAATTCTCCACTCCATCTCTTGATGTGAGTATGAACTTGCTCCCGACGAGCAAACTTTAGTAGTTCAGTTGAGGCCAACTTCTCAAACAACACCTGAATGAAAGCAGCGAGAAAGATTTCACCTATAGGCATTGTTTCCCTAGTGAAAATAAGGAAGTAAGAAACAATATTATATCAGATTTAGAGAGAGACACAAACAAACCAAGAAAAGCATGAGACTGAAAGTTTGATTGGTTTTAGAATGAATTCTTCATGGAGAGTAACAAAATGGATAGTTATAATTATCGCAGCTGCTATTATGTGTCTACATCAGGCATATATTCTATCTTATCAAAACCAATGGCTCAAGTTTTTTTGGCGACTATTCCACACACCCAAGAGAAAAATTATTGGAAAAAAAAAGTCACAAACAAAAGTTTCATATAAAATTCCATATAAGAATGGATAATTATTTAGTAGTTCAGTACTGTTCACGTTGTGATCCGCAAAGTGTATTTTGTGGTTTCACATTTGTCGGGGGCACCGTATTGATAATATCATATGGTACTCCGAGACTACTTAATACATATACATATATATTAAGGAAAAGTCTAGAGATCCACCCTTATCCACCTAAAAAATTCTGAGTGAGTGATTGTGTAGTGGAGATTAATTTATGTAATGTAGGAAAAAATTTTATTTTTTAAAATAATAGGAAACAATGTGTCTCTTTGAAAAATACATAATGAACACTACAACATATATGTTTCTGACTAGTAATGTGTGCTTCAGGTCAAGGATCGTCTTTGATTATATGTGTGAGAATATTGACTGGCTACACAGATACATTATACAAGGACTTGAGTGGTAAGACACTACTTCAGCTTCCAAAACTCTATGGTGCAGGCCATAGACAGGAGAGTTACAATATGTACCTCTTCTGGATCACAATGATTGACACACTATGGCAGAGCCTTGTTCTCTTCTATGTACTTTTATTCACCTATAGGGAGAGCACTATTGACATATAGTTAAACTCTGTTTATATTGTTCATTAAACTATGTTCAATGTTTATATTGCTTCCTTCAATAATGTTCATGAAAATTTTATAGTTGTCTATATTCATTTAACTTTTTTAACATACTAATCTTTTGATGTCTAAATTAACTGTTCTTTTTTCTTATGACACTACACTCTGTGGAGAGGTTTGCTCAGTAGGTGTATGTATTGGTTGAGTATTCATGGTTGTCTAAGCATGTTGCATATTAAAAATCATGCCCACTTGATTATGTCATTTGCCACATAAAAACATGATGGTTAGTCTTGAGTTCTAGTGTACTTATATCCTTCTTTTTTTCATTTTTTCTTTTCCTTTCCCAAATAACTGTGAAGACAATTGAGTTCTTTTTATGAATTTCTATGTTCAGTGCTAGTTGGTGATTTTGCAGGTTGATATGCTATTTTACTGATGCTTTATTTTGGTTTTGACTTTATAATTTCTTTTCCCTAAATAGTAGTGCCACAAAGAAGAAACGAGTATCAAGAATCATTGGTGGGGGTCTGCGCCAGTTCAGTATCATAAGTCAGTAATTTCTTTTATATAGACTTGATTGATTCATGCATATTTTATAGCATCAGGTTCTATTCTAGTGTATGCTCAATTAAATCATTCCATCAATGAAGCTTGGCTATATTAATCTTTTAATTAATTAATTATTATTTTTATTTCTGAACAACGGTATATAAAATTTCCATGTGAAGGCAGTCACTTGTGCAAAATAATACTAAGGCTAGGTTTGGGTAACGGCCTTTAACTTTTAGATGAATCTATGCATTGAGTAATATTAGTGAGGACAACTCTACAACTATATTTAATTACTCGTTTTGGTAAAAATTTGAATCTGCTTCAATTGTTTCTCAGTTTGTAAGAAAGTGGAGAGCAAGGGAAAAACCACATATAGTTGGTAATTTCTTCAGATATCCACATAGCTAGAGAAGCTGAGATACTGGGAAAAGAACCTAATTATTTTGGGTCTAAGCCAGATCCAGGTTCCAGTTAATATGTATATTATTAACTGATCCAATTTGTTATGACCTGGCCAGAGTTTGTCCAGCCAAATGTGAAATTTAATGGTAAGTTCAGTTTCATTTATACATCTATTCCTTTTCTGTTTCATTCAGGGTACCTTCCTTGCTCTCCTGTCTCTGGTTGGAGAAAAATAATTCTCACCTATGGGCATGAGCTTTCTCGAACAGTAACTAGCCATATGTTAAACCCCATGGTCAACCCATTTTCTCACTTTCATCATCATCATCTTTCTCTTTAATTGAATTCTGCACTTGTGTGTACATATCATGTTAAATATGTAAATGTCTAATTAGTATATCTTGTTAAAAGAAATATGTACTTGTGTATACATATATATATATATATATATTAGCATTTGGGCCCATGCAATGCGTAGCAATTCATTTTGGTCCTCTTTTTTTTTTTTTTTTGTAAAATTCATAATATGAATTTTTCTGTTTAAATAGAGATATGGTTGAGGGTAGGCAGTTGAAACTGTCATGATTTTTCTCTGAACTTCGGTGGCGACTTGATATTTACATGTTTATCCCTTTTATGATGAAAAGCACAGACATACGGCATGGTTTTTCTGGACAAAGAGGTAGCGTGACGGACCTTAAAATATGATACTAATGATAAGATGGTCTGGTCGGGGAGGAAAAATGGGGGGAAGAGTGGGATAGAGTTCTTTTAGGGTTTTGTTGATATTTGTGGGGTTTACTATTGGAACTAGCATATAAGCAGAATCTGTACAAGTCTTGGCAGATTGTTAGATTTTGGAATTGCTATCAACGGTTAGATGCATTTTCTATTATTTATGATTACTGATATCAACTTCTCTCTCTCTCTCTCTCTCTCTCTCTCCCCCCCCCACCCAAATTGTATTCATGTTTTTAAGTTCAGGGAACAACAGCAATAAATGGAAAAAGTGCATTGGAGACAATGATGGAGAGGCTGGATTACAAGTTAACAAAACTCAGATTCCGAATATAATTGCAGAGACGCAATGCATAGAGAGGGGCATCCAATTTTGGTGAACTAGGTTGATATGGTAGGAAAATGATTTGTGTGTGAATGTGGTTATTGTGAATGAGAATATGGATATCAAGTTGGCTCAAATGTCCAGATTTGTATTTTGGTGAACTCAGATTCCTATTTTGGCTCAAATAGAGGGACATCCAATTTTGGTGACTCCTTAATGTAATTCAAACGATTTGTGTGTGAATGTTTTTTTTTTTTTTTTTTTTTTTTTTTTGGTGACTCCTTAATGTAATTCATTTGATAAGATTTTACTATGTAAATGAGAGTTATTATTTCACATTAGTGTTATTTTTCAGTTTTATTATAGGTTTTTTTTTGGGTTCAATAACCTAAAATTAGCACAATTAAAAAAGAAAAAAAAAGGGGCTATCACGGCGTTTCTAAAAACGTCGCTAAATAGCATGATGACGTCATGTTACCGTTGGCAGAACTTTTAGCGGCGTTTTTAGAAACGCCGCCTATTGGCATATAGCGACGTTTATAAAGCGCCATAGAGTTATAGCGACGGCCGCATCTTCGACGTTTGGTGCTAAACGCCACAAAAATATTTAACGGCGTTTTTAGGACCTATTGCGGCGTTTTTTAAACGCCTCTAAAACCAGAATTTCCAACAGTGTGAGAAGTACAAATAAGTATTTTAAATGACATTTTTTTTTTCATTTTTACTATTTTTCTTTTTCAATTTTGATTTTTTTTTCCCTTCTTTCTCACACACTATTTTCAATCACCGATTGCCGCTACCGTCCACTCACAGGGAAAGTGCCGGGGAATTTGTTGGCATTGAAAGGGTTACTGAAAAATTCGTTAGCGCCTGGCGATAGACAAGTGGACACAGAGATAAGTAAGTAGATTTATGGAAGATAAGTAGGATATGTGGACATATAGGTTGACAAACGGCTTAGTTTGAAAAGTTGGATTGGTTTTTTGACTTTTTAATCTTGGTTTAAAAGTTCATTTGGGTTGATTCTTTTAACTTTTATAAGAGAAAAAATAAAATAATTATGATTTAAATGTAATATTTTATCTTATTATTTTTTAGTAAATTTTATCTTTTTGTGATTAAAAAAGTCACCAATGTCAAAAAAACCCGGATACCAAACGAGCTAATTGTTGTTGATTTGAAGGTAATTATATATTTTCATTAAAATTTTGTAGGAACTCAATTTTATTTATTTATTTTTGAGAATGGTCAAATTGGAACAATTTCAAAAAGATGCCCACCTCACCTATTCTCATATTCCTGGTATCAAACTAGGGCTTTTGCCCATTGTTTTGTGACAACTTGGATGACGCATATTTGCATTGTTTTTTTTTATTTTTATTTATTTATTGCAGATATTTGTCCTCTTCAAGGTTTTGTGACAACTTGGATGACGCATATTTGCATTGTTTTTTTATTTTTATTTATTTATTGCGGATATTTGTCCTCTTCAAGGAATATATATACACAGAGACTCTTTCAATTCATATCAAAACACCAACAATTCATATCTGAATTCAATCATATTCAACCATTTCTATTGCTAGAGAATTGGCCATGGCAAGTGTAAAGCTCATAGGAGGTTATTCACCCAAAGAAAACGAGCATGCAGTAGGCTCACCAAGCCCATTTGTGAACCGGGTTCAAATCGCTCTGAACCTAAAATCAATCGACTATGAGTTCTTACTAGAGACATTTGGTTCCAAAAGTGAACTTCTTCTTAAATCAAATCCGGTCAATAAGAACATACCGGTTCTTATCCACCACAACAAGCCTATATGCGAGTCTCTTATTATTGTTCAATATATCGATGAGTTATGGACATCTGGTCCCTCAATTCTCCCCTCTGATCCCTATGATCGCGCCATTAAACGATTTTGGGGAGCCTATATTGATGATAAGGTATCATTTTATCATTCGTTGAATTTTTAAAATCAAATAGTAATGATATACAATTAGTTTTTATTTTATTTTTATTTTGTAGTGTAATATGTAATTAAATGAAATGATAGAACAGAGGGTGTCAATGAATGTATGTTTTAGTTTTGAAGAGTTATATAGTAAATTATTTTTGGAAAAAATTCCCCAAAAACAACCTAATTTTGAGAAAACATCAAAAAGTGATTTCAGAATTTTAAATACTATTTTCACAAAAAAGAAGAAGAATGGCATTTTCGAACTTTTCATTGTTTTGTTTCTGATAATAAAAGGATTTGTTTGGTACATTATTATATTTTTCATAAAAATGGAATTAATTCTTAAAATTTAAAATATTTGGAAACACAAAAAATCACTGTGTTTGGTTTGAGTTTTCTAGATTAAGTTTTTTAAAAATTGAGTTTTTTGATTTTCATATTTTTTGTTTTTAGTGAATGTTTTTAAAATTTTAAACATTTTTTTTACTTTTTTAGATGCACCTTACTTAGATGTGTCTAAAAAGTAAAAAAATTGTGAAAAATTATTTTAAAAAATTAAGAAATACATAAAAATACAAAAAATGTACTAAATTCTTGTATTTTTTTTGTATTTTTGGTATTTAGTGAATTTTTAAAAGATTTTTTTTACAATTTTTTTACTTTTTAGGTGTATTTATGTTAGCTGTGTTTAAAAAGTAAAAAATTTGCATAAAATATTTAAAAAATTCAGTAAAAACAAAAAAACACAGAAAATAAGAGTGTGGAATTTTCTGAAAACTGTTTTTAAAAAATGAAAACCAAGCAAAGTGATTTACCTTTTGTTTTCAAAAACAATATTTTCACCCTTTCCTAACTTCCCCACCACCTCCGGTGTCCTCTGATAGTTTGACAACAATCTCTAGTCATCCCATAGCCGGCTACTGCCTTCGATAACTCAACAACGATGTTTATTTATTTATTTATTTTATATTTAAAAAAAAAATTATGTATGTACCAAGCAAGTATATGTTTTTGTT